ATCCTACTTTATCTCTCTCTTTGTCACTATAACGTTGCGTTCGGTATTTTGCTCAAAGAGCAGAGCGTGCTGAGCGGAGCCGTAATCACGTGACCAGCAAGCGAACAGAGTAGCTGAACGCTGTATAAAAGTGCCAGAAATTTTAATAAACGAACGCGAATGAGGCTGCACCGAGTACACTTTTCAAATAAACGAACGGTAAAGTCAAGCTCGGAGAACTCAGACCAAAATAACGAACGCACGGTAAAATTATTAGTCGGCCATTTTGAAGTGTCGTGATTACATTTTTATCCAGGTTTTCGTCGAATTTTCCACTTTTCCAGGGTTTTTTTAGTCGAAAAAACTGGTTTAAAGTACGAGGTTTCGAGTTTTCTCCATTTTCTGCTAGAAATTCCCAGTTTTAGATCCATTAATTTACAGTCAAAAGGTAAGTGAGAAAAAAATATTGAAAAGCAAGTTTTTGAGGCCTTATTCAAGGAAATTTCTAATTTTAAAATCGTTATTAATTAATTATTTAACGGGTTTTTAATTATTAAATTACAAGTAGAATCCCATTTTAAATGATTTTTTTTGGAAGTTTTGTGATGTGGCAACACCGCTTGTAGCCAACTTCAAGTAGACCTTGTAATAAATGTCATTTGCCATTTTTGACAGTCGACCATTTTCAATTGACGAGTTTACATTTTTATCCAGTTTTTCATCGAATCTTCCGGTTTTCCAGGCCGTTTTCAATCGGGAAAACTGTTTTAAAGTTCGAGGCTTTGAGTTTTCTCCATTTTCCACCAGAAATTTCCAGTTTTCGAATGGAGTAAGTGACCAAAACTTTGATTTTTCAAGTAGGCTTTGGAATGTTGGTTTTCCATTGAATTTTCTACAATTGCAGGGATTTTTCAACTAGAAAAAGATGATTTTAAAGGCGGGGCTTTGAATTTGCTTCATTTTTCCACCAAAAACTTCCATTTTTAGACTTAAATTGTTCCCTACTTTTTCTCCCTCTTTGTCTTATTTACTATTAGGCAGGCCTTGGAATGTCATTTTTATTGAAATTTATTAAAGATAAGATTCCAATGCATTATTTTCGGAATTTATTATTTCATAAACATTCATAATTAATTATTTAAACAAAAAACTAAAATCTGTTTTTTTTTTAAAGATAAAAGTCAAAATGACATTATGTTGGCAATACAATGTAAAATTGTCTATGCTTCAAATTTTTTATGTAGAAAAGGCTTGTGTTGCCAACAAAGTTACTAAATTTTTGACTTGGGGAATTATCTTAAAAAAAAAACAGACTTTATTTAAAATGTAATTTTTTCTTATTTGAGATGTGGCAACGTCGCACAATGTTATTACCAAGTTTTGACAGTCGGTCATTTTTGAATGTTTTTATCCAGTTTTTCCTCGAATTTTCCGCTTTTCCATGCCGTTTTCAATTGGGAAAACCGATTGATAAGACGATACTTTGAATTTTCTTCATTTTTTGCAAAAATGTCCAGTTTTCCAATGGGGTAAGTGACAAAAATTCAAGTTTTATTAAGTAGACTCTGGATTGTCATTTTTACGGGATTTTTTTTGAATTTTCCGCTTTTCCAGTGCTTTTTTGATCGGGAAAACCGATTTTAAGTTTGAGGCTTTAAGTTTTCTTCATTTTCATCCAAAAATTTCTAGTTTTAAATACTAAAATTAGGGGTAGATAAGGTTTTCTGCCTCTTTTAAAAAGAGTGACCACTTGAATTACATCCTACTTTATCTCTTTCCTTGTCCTACTCAGAGGGTGTTAGAGCTACTTTGCACTTAAAAAAACACTAAATTTAGCAGAAAAAACGGGGCTCCGAATCAAAAAAAAGGGGGCTCTCAAGACAAAAAACAAACAAACGCCATTTTGAATTAATTGTCAAAAATTACAAGGCCTACTTTAACTTTGACATATCAAATTTTTTGACGTTTGCGTCAGGGTTGCTGCAATTTTTGTGCCAGGGTTGCTACATTTTTTCGTCCCTGTGGGCCGATTTTTCAATATCGAGTCACCTCCGGGTTAGTTTTATATAGAGGTGGGCCAACCTGCAAATTTACTGGAACTGTGACAAGACGTGACAGCTCCAGTCGTGTCACGGTAACAAAATAGCAGTGACTTAACTGGCCGTGCTGGTAATACATATAAATGGTACATTTCATAATCGCAGTTCGCCCAGTTCACAGTCACGGCCGAGAGAAATGTTCCAGTCTGCCCTCTGCAGTAGCAGTTTCTGTTTTGCGTCACCGCAATGTGATTTATAATAATATTTCATTATTTGCATCACTTTAAGTTGAGTTAAGTCCGCGCTGTATCGGTTAGAGATCGAAGAGGCCGTGACAAAATGTCATTGCAACTTGAGTGGGACTGGAGCAGGCCGTGACTGTGACAGACGAGTAACAGTGACAAAGTCACAGTTTGTAAAATCGCAACTCACCTCTAATTTGAGGGATACTACTACGACTGTTGATACTAGATTTAAGTCGATATATTATCCAGTAGGCCCTTCTTCTAGTTCTCGTGACGTCAGTTCATGGGAAGAGGAATCACACAGGCGTGACAGTTAGACATCCTAAAGGCCATTCATTTGAGAGGCAAAATTGAGCATGTAGATAGTTGAGATGATTACAAGTATGACGAAGAATACAGATCTAGATGACATTATTCTCAAAAGACTCTGGAAAGGCATATCTACTGCTTGCTAGTAGGAAAAGAAATAATGTTAATCTGAGTGGATCTTAACGAGGTGAAGGCTTATCACGAAAGTAAACGGTTACCACATAAGGACTCAGAGCAGAGCTCAGATGATCGGCAAGATATAAGATATGATTTGAATTGAAAAGAAGGCAATGTTACGAAATTACATTGGTGCGGAGAAGCCGACGGAACAAAGATTTCTCGATTGGATGGTTTTCTTTATAAAGCGGGTAGAATTAGAAACGTATTCAAATATCCATTGAAAATTAGATAGGTACTTGCTCTCCTACTATTACTATTGAATTTAGTTAGTGTTAGTACATGGGTCCAAAAACTGGTAAAGGATAGAAATAAGGTCCTAGCGGATGGATTAAACAAGGACGCAGGAGAAAGTAAGATTTATAATGTAGCTATACCGAAAGGGGTGGGCGAAGAAGAGGGAAAACTCTATATTTGTTCAGTAAATTGCGAAAAATATATGCCAAGGATTTTTTGCTAATTTTTTTCCAACAGCAATAAAGTGTCATGTGGCACTTCAGTTTTTTTTTTGAGATTGAACCAATTACACGATGGAATTTCAATATATAAAAAGTTTCCACTATCAGTCGAGAAAAATTACATCATCAACAAAACCGTGTAAGCTTAAAAAGTGATATTGCAAGATGAAAGGGCTTAGGAAACTTGTATTCACGTGATAAGTCTAAGCATTGTAAACATCCGTCTAAAAGCCTTGAAAGTTAATGCGAAACAGGCATAGAATTCTAGCTTTTGACGGTATCTACGAGAGGTTTTTTTATTTCGTTTTATACGTATACACGAACAAGTTGAAAGCGAACAAACAAGAAGAAGAAAATGTTTATCGATGTTCAAATTCAACTTGCAAACGAAATAGGAGATTTCAAAAACAAACTACTATCCTAGAACTAGTAGCAACATTATAATAGCAAAAACGCAGTAAAGTTATCGCTTTAACTCAGAGCCAAGCCAGTCCGATCCATTCCCCTTTAGGATATATACAGAACACAAAAAGTTGTCCGTCGAGGGGGTGGTTGGGAGCTGTTTGGGGAATAGTTGATGCAGGGTGGGAACTGGGGGAGCCTGTTTTTGGGGGTGGGTTTAGGGGGGTGCACTTGTCACTGGGCCGCCTCGCAATGGTCTGAGTGAGTGTGTGCGGAGCAAAAATTAGTATTTATATGGAGTTGATATAAACAATTTTATAAGCAAAGGAAAATGGAAATAATTTGGATTGCATTTATAGAGCAACATCACTTTGGAAAAGACTAACACAACAAAAATCACCAGAAACTGATCAACCTAAGAATAGGAACAAACAATATTAGATCAATGAACACTGACGAAAAGATACATGAACTGGAGGAAGAGCTCAAAGAATAAAGTAGGACAGTATGCTTGTCGGAAACTCGAATACAATTGAACTCCGGTAACCTACTATACTACAAAGGTAGCGAAGACAACAGTAACTTTGGAGTAGGATTTATTACAAAAAAGCGATAAGTAAACACGTCTAAACTATCAAGGGAGTCTCAGATCGGGTTGCTTATCTCGTACTTAAAATGAAAAGAACATCGCTTAAAATTATTCAAGTGTACCCACCCGTGAAAAGACGTTTTGAAGACTCACATATTAACACACTTGGATATTCATCCTTTTGAATGTAACACTTGCAAAGCAAACTTTAAACGAAAACACCATTTGAAGAGTCACTTAATGACACATTTAAATATTCATCCTTTTGAATGTGACACTTGCAAAGTAATACATTCTACGATGAGAACATCGAAATATTCTATGAAGATATCTCAAAGACTATGGAAGAACATGAAACTCGCCTTACTCTAGTAATTGGAGATTTCAATGCCAAACTTGATAAGAAGCTGAACAAAGAAGATACTAAAATAGGGGACTTTGGGTACAGTGAGAGGAACGATAGGGACACTACCTTGATGAACTATCTAGAAGAAAAACAATAATCCTTCACACTCATCTTCAGACATCATTATACTGGACCGAGTTGCTAGAAGTAACTTTTTTCCAAAAGAATCTTAAAAATATATTTACGCATACATATTTCGAACAATAAGAACTTTCTTTACACAATCACTGAGCTGATATTTTCTCCCACTGTGTGCTGGCTCTAACAGAGCCGAAGCTCTATCTATAGCGAGACTCTGTAGTAGGGCTCTGTCTGCGAAGCCGTCTGGATGGACTTTCCCAGCACGTCCTCTGCCAGACACATTCGCAAATCATTGCACGCTCGAGAAAAGAATTTTTGGACATAAATCCGAATAAACCTTTTAGGTTTTGGAACTTTTTTAATGGATAATAAAGCAAAATAAATATATGTATAATACAAATAATAATTTATTACCAACACACTAATAATAAAATTAAAAAAAACATACAATACAGTTGTTACAAATACAAACTATTCCATCGAATACATTTTATAAATTATCTATACAAAATAAAATACATTTTTCTCAAATGTACAATAATAATCTTTAAAACAGATTAATAAAAATAATTATACAGAGATCACCTGAATGATCGAACAATTTTGAAAAAAAAAAAACAATAATTTTCACCCTAAAAGTGCCTCTGATACACATAAATTAAAAAATTAAAGTGGACAAAACAAATACTATTTTTTGCAATAGAGTTCCTTTTTAGGCTCTATGCAAATTACGAACAACATTTTTGGTAACGGCAGTGGAGTTGAATTATATCATTCGTTGGTGGCTGTTTAAAAAAAAAATGAAACGCTCAGTAATCTTTCCAAGTGCTCAAAAAGTTCATTCCTAAAGTAAATCGTTGTCTTAACAAAAAATACAAACACATTAATCACTGCACAAAAATTTATCTTGCATCCATACTGGATTCGGACTGAGACCCGTGATCTGAAGAACTACTGCTGGTAACGGTTTCAGCTGATTTAATTTTCGGCTTGTACTCGGTTATTACTACTGTGACACTATTGACTGTGACTTCTCGCGTCTGAGCCGTGCTTCTGTCGATGTTTTTTAATCTCGGAGGATGACGGCGTTTTTTCAGGCTTTTCTTGTCTTTTCTCTCCTTTTTTATCACGCTGGTGCTACTTGTCGCCGGCAGGAATTGACTGGCAACCTAGAACAGAAAAACGAAGATGTAAAATCTTTTATTTATTTATCGGCTGTAAATGAAAACCTTGACATTTCCTAACTAAAATGTGCATCATTATTTGAAACCTATTATTTATTTATTTCACAGCCAAATACTTACAATAATGGCTAATGAATACTTTATTAATTATACTCTGCTTAGAGTAGATACTCTGTTTCATTACAATTATTGATAGTAGATTCAAAACAGTGTTTGTGTGTGTCAACAAATTTTACCTTTTTTTTCATCAAATACATAGTCGTAAGCATAGTATTTTGGAAATTATAGCACAGGCCACCCTATACTATTATAATGGGGGATAAGAGTCGAACGGGGGCGCCATTGTCCAAGAGTTATCAGTTAATAAATCCCTATGTTATAAAGGAATTATTGATAGGCAGAAAATACATATTTTTTAAAAATTTGCTTTTAAGAGGTACGAATAATAATTATAAGTTTATCAAGTGCCCGATCAAGTGTTTTAATAATTAATGCATAGTGTTGAAGTTCATAATGGAATGGTAGTAAAATCCATATTTTTATCAGTGTTGGTACCTGCCGTGCGTCGCGCTTATGGTTTAAATTTTTCCTGAACATTCAGAATGTTGATGATTTTTAGTTTTGACGTTCTCAGACGATTATCATCCATAGAGCTTCAGGCTTGGCAATGGCCTTTTAGATATCCTTTATCACGGAAATATTAATGACGATTCCTAAATAAAAATATTGTGCATGTGTTTTGGATATGTTGGTTTGTAAAGCAGTAACACTCGCATGGTTTCAATCAGAAGGTTCACATTGGATCTCTCCAATAGGTCATGGTTTTGGAAAATAATTGGAGTGTACCTCAGGGGTCGGTAGTGTGTCCCCTCTTACTTCTAATTTTTATAAATGACCTTGAGTCACTGAATATGAACGGGAAATTTACTTTGTTTACAGAGAACGCCACAATTCTATGGTTTTGTAAGAACAATTAGAGTGTAAAATGAGATATTCTCACAAATTTTCAGCAGCTCAAATCTTGGTGTGATTCTAATCTTCTGGTGCTAAACTTAACTAAAACAAATATTTTGTCATTAAGATGCGATCTAGGACTCGCCAACGTCTACAATGTTTCTATCGAATCCTGAGACTAAGTTTCTGGGACTTATTATTAACAGTGAATTGAGTCAGAGTGAATTTCATTGGTTGAAACTAGTTTTCTGACTCTTTCTAACTGTTTTCAACCAATGAAATTCGCTCTGACTGGTTTGTGATTTCTGCACAAACAGACCATATATGTCTCCATAATTAAGTATATTCTTATTCTAACCAAAATTCTACCTTAATAAGGGTATTACCAAAAGATAAAATTCCAAAAGAAGGTAAGAAAAAATAAAAACAAGAAAATTCTCAAAAAAAAAAAATTTCAACCCTATTTAAAAATAATTAATAACCGGTATTTCCTCCTCTATATTGGATAATAGCACGGCAGCGATTATTCATGTTGAAATTACGGGCCTTATCTCGTTTTAATCCAAATTATTCTACATTTAAACAATATCTCCAGTAAGCCCATTCAAAGTGTTAGGAGAGTTAGGAACGAGGTTATGAAGTTCATAAAAACAGCGATAGATCATGTCCCAGACATCCTCAATTGGGTAAGGATCAGAACTGCTTGCTAGCCAATCCATAGTTTCAATTCCAACCTCAATAAAATAGAAATAAGTTAGTGGTGCACTAATTTTGCTGGACAGTGTATATTTAAATAATTTGCTAAAAAAGTTTATCCAGATTTTTCAATTTTGATCTAGAAAAAAAATAAAGGCAAAACACGGGTTTTAGCGAACTCTGCGCGCGTTTTATTACAGAGAAAGTGTTGCCAACTAATTTTTTCCAGCAAATAGTTAATACATAATTGCTAAAAATGGCTGCATGTCAAAACTGTGAAATATTATATCATAAAATATTCAATAAATATTTTATTGCGCCAAGGTTTTTGACCATGAAACAGTATTTAAGGATGAAAATAAATTGTTTATAGAGAAAAAACATGATATTTTTGTGAAGGACCTTAACTACAAATTTAGTATCAAAATATTATCGTTAGAAATCTTTGAGAATTTTACAGTTGACGAGGCGCTGGAAACCGAGATAGACCTTGATGAAGACGAATATGTTGCAATAGAAGAAGTGAAAAATCTGAACATAAAAAATTACCTAAATCATGAAACAAGTTACTCTTCATAATTTTTGGAAATAAGATCTATGGCGTCATCAAAACTGTAAGAAAGTCTACACTTTGCTGGTTATTCAATAAAAAAAAGGTAGGATTTCAAGTGAACGTTTGATGAGGGAACAGGGTGAAAATAAATCCACAAAAACAGAGCAAAAAAAAAAATAAAGAAAGCAAAAAAGAATGGTACCAAAACTGATACGATTTTTGAAAAAATACGGATTCAAGTGTAAAGCAGACTTTGGAAAGCAAATATGAAAACTCTTGTTAAGAGGAAACAACTGAGGAAACCCCAAGAAAAACCCAAAAGGAAATCGGCTCAGAAATCGAAGAAATTGCCATTATAGATAGTTGAAAAGTATTATGTTTACTATTATGAGGATAAATGATACATAGAGGTCGTGTAACAGACATTGATAGGGATCATTGAACCATGAAGATCCTTGAAGAAGACATAGGCAGGTGACACACTGGAGAAATAAGTTCCATAAAACTTTCTGCAAGAAACAGGAAATAGCACACTGGCGAAACAATTTCTGGTCTCCTGTTTCAGGAACGACAGTGTGATCCGCCACATTCGAGGACACATTTGAATGTATGTGTTGTATGGTGGGGAAACAAATTTCCGGTTTCTTGCAACTCAAGAAAATGGAAACTCACGGTTCCTAAAGTTAATAGGTTGTCTGGTAAGGGGTAACTTGATGATGTCATATGGAGATTTGCATTATATTGGGGCACCTCCGAGGGCACTCAATATGATGTCATAAAAGTTTTCAGGCAACCTACCTCTCTCAAGCAACCTTGATATTGCCTAAGAAACCAGACCATCAAAAAGTAAGCAAAAAATATATAATGAAGTTGATTTCAAATTCATAAATGCTATATCGCTACGAACACGAACACTAAAATACTTATTCCTGTGTTTAAACTTTAGGTTGTTTTTTGTATTTGTTGGAAATAAAATGTATTTTCCTCGGTATTTTCTATCTTCATGAACAACATCTTGCTTCACCTATACCCTCAAATTCAGGTTCGTACAATATCAATAAAAACTATATTTTTGCTGTAAAATCTCGTGTAAAATATTGACCATAATTCAAGTGAACATAGAAAAATATGAGGAAAAATATAATTTCCAACTGTTTTTTCAAACATTTCCACAGTCACTCCAAACTTTGCAATAGTATATTGTGTATTTAGGTGGAAAAGTGACACGAGAATGTGCTTTTCCACCGAAATACACATACTATTTTTTCTGCGATCGGTTAAATACCTGTTAAATGTTTGTCTTTTAGTTCCAGTTATTCAGCAGTACGAGAATCACTGAGAGAAGTGTTTCCTGTATTGTTATTTATTGATTCCTTAGCAACTATTGAAACATAATTGAAATACCAGAATATTGAGTCCAGTTGACAGGTCGCAAACCTGTCAACTGGTCAAAAATGCTGACATTTCTTGTCAATCGCAGAAAAAATTATTTAATCTACGTCGGTGTCATTATGACACGTTAGGATTGTCATTTGAATGTCATTAGGTCCTTCATAATAGCACTAGTGCGTTTAAGAATTCATAATAACACCCAAATTTTGAAATGAAAAATATACAAAAAGGAAGTTAGTTGCCAGAAGAATTTTTTCAATAATGCTGTCTCTATATTCGAAGAGACACTTTCGAACTCAGAATCACCAATAATAATATTATTTTCCACTATAAAATTGAATTTATGGCACAAAAATGGACTCCAATATTGGAGCTGCCAAAGTCGAAATTCTAAAAACCAGCAAGCAGGTTCCCGACTAGTACGGGCACCTGCTAAATTTCAAATTTTAATTTGAAAAGTTTTTGCTATTTCAAGGCAAATCAAATCTATTTGGACCATTGTAGATTAAATTTTGAATGATACACGTTCGATATGAACTTTATTAATGAAACTTGTGTAACTAAACCACTTGGCTAACGCCTCGTGGTTTAACGTTACACGCGTTTCATTATGGCGTTCATATCGAACTTGTATCATTAATAACTATAATGGGGTTTCAAATAGAGATGCCACGAATAGTGATTTGGCCGAATACCCAATACCGAATATTCGGCCACGTTCTCGTTTATAACGCCGAATATTCTGCCGCCGAATATTCTGTGGGTTTTGTGCGTTATCAACTGGAAATTTCCAGTAGTAATATAACTAGTGCATGAAATATTTCCAGAAATTTTTGAACATTTTATTTGAAGCCAATTTTTAAACAAAATCATGAGTGCATTTAGCAAGGTAGTGCATAGCGCAGGGAAATTTTGAAAAATTTCGTCTTTAGCCCATTTTTTTGAACAAAACCATTCGTGCATAGCTGATTGGTTCATTAGGAATCAGTTAATCTCAAATAAAGAGAAGACAAATGTTGTATTGTTCAGGACCAAGCAGCTCAAAATAGTCAAAAACAAAGGGCATGGAATTCTTGGAGACCGCGGATTTTGGTAGAGTGGCTGTTTCAGGGTGCTCAAAGTTTCTGGGAGTCTACCTAAGTGAATTTCTGGATTGGTCGATTCATATCATTACATTGGTGAAAAGGCTGAATTCAATTTGTTATGGAATATAAAGCATCAAATGTGAGCGAAAAAACGTTAAGGTAGTGAAATTCACAAATTTTGAGTGTGCACTAAGGTATGGCATCATATTCTGGGGCAGAGATGGATCACTTCAAAATGTTTTCGCAGCGCAATGAGTTTTCATGTGATTGAGAAGATGGGTTTTAATGAAGCATGTTGAACCATTCAGGAGCTCAGGTATCATGGCAGTGTACGCATTGTACAGACAAATGGCTAATGTAGAAACAGAAATCTCCTCGAAGTCCAAATTGGACATTCTTATAATATAAGTGCTGCGAACTTAAGCTATCCAAGGAACAGGCTTGAAATAATCAAAAGATAACCACATTATATTACAGGTTGTTAATTTTTAAACTAACCACCCGTATTATCTCGGAGTTTTTTTTTGAAAAAATCCCTGAAACACATCACCTATATTTGAAGGAGGATGAGTTTTTTTGCAAAATTCACCTTCCCCCTTTCATCCCCCCAGCCCCCAGAGCCACCCCTTAGAAAATCTTAAATGGGAAGGGGGATCAAGTGATACATCATTTTGGAGGGTTTTTAATTCCATACATTTGGTACTTAACATGTTTGCGGACAATTTCTGAAAGTATGTTGTGCTTACAATGTCAATTTTTGTATTTCCATGTTTGGTGTGGTAAATTGGTTTTGAAATTCGCCGTGAACTGGACAATTTCGAGGTGAATAGACACTGTGGCAGGACTGATAAATTAAAAATACATCTAGCTATATGGGATCAAAGATGGCTAGAGCCGTTATTTGTTTATAGAAGAAAATTGGGGTGACTGCTATAATAGATGTCATGTCCCAGGCAAGGGAGAAGAATATGACGGCTTTAGCTGTACTGTCCGGGAACGTGTTAATTTCAATACCTAAGTTCAACTGTTTTGGGAATAGTGACAGTTGAAAATTGACTTTTTGCAACTTTGACAGGCTGTGAACTGTAAAAATTTAATCCATGATTGAAAATTCGAATTAAATTTTATCTCCGGTTAAATTCAAAGTTGGTGTCAAATGATAGCTCTGTTCCAACCTGCCATGAGAACCGTTCTAGAACGGTAATTTCCAGCTGCCCACCTTTTTTTCAATAAGTTGAACGTTTATCCTAATTGACAAATGAATTGATCGACTGGAAATTACTGTTCCAGAACGGTTCTCGATCGGTTTCTCAAGAATGTAAGATCGGTTTTCCTTTAAAAATTTAAAATTAACAGTTTGGGTTTTCTAAGGGTTTAAAGCTGAATTTATAGTGTCAGTATCAGTAACAGTAACAGTAACTTAAAACTTAAGAACAGATATGAAAATAACCATTTCTTAAGTTTTACTGATAAGTTTGTTAATGGCTAGTTGCACCAAGATTCCATTATCCCGCAAGGATCAGTTTTGGGACCTTTACTGTTTTCAATTTATGTAGAGGATCTTGTTTCCTTGCCTCTTAGTTGTATGTTTACGCGGTTTGCGGATGATACTACTGCTCTGTGGCGCTGTCCTAGATCCACTCTGCATGAGGCGATGACTGCAGATATTGTTTCCATGAAGCAGTGGTGTGACAGCAACCAACTGTGTTTTAATATCTCCAAAACAAACATTCTTTCCTTTGGATTGTCTGTTGATCCCATAAATTTGGAGATGCAAACAATAGGTTGTTCCTCTAGTGTAAAATTTCTAGGAATAATTGTCGACAAGAACTTAAAATTTATTGAGCACATAGAGCGATTGAAAGCTCGACTGGCTTCTGCCTGCTTTGCTGTGAGAATGACTACTTCAGAGTTGGGGTATTCACTGGCAAGAATGGTGTATTTCTCCCTGGTGGACTCTGTTTTACGTTATGGGGTGGCCTTTTGGGGGTTTTGCCCAGGTTACGCCTTTCACTCAGCATTCGTTCTTCAAAAGCGTGCCATCCGTTATCTTCATAATAAAAAACAACGTGAACATTGCCGTCCCCTGTTTCTTTCTTCAAAAATTTTAACGTTAACTTGTTTATTTATTTTGGAAACTGTTTGTTTGGTTCATAAAAAGTATGGAGGGGTGGTATCTGGAGTCCGTACAACAAGGCAGTCGGGCAGGCTCCCTCTACCAGTTCCCAGATCTAGTTTGACCAAAAATTCTTTAATTTACGAAAGCCTTAAAATATATAATCATCTACCAACCTACTTGAAAGAGATATCGAATGCAAAATTATTTCGTAGAGGTATTGTAAAATTGCTGGAGGGGAAGGCCTATTATGACATTGAAGAATACTTTAACGACATACTTTAATGTGGTGTCGGCTCCCTCTGATTGTTGGCTTCTCTTGTCTTTGTTTTTATTTCTATTTTTATTCTTACTGTTATTTTTATTTTTATTTTTTTATTTTTATTTTTATTTTTATTTTTATTTTAACCTTTGTACAATTGTTCATTTCTATGTTTTTGATATTTTTGTTGAATTTTGATATTTTTTAGTTTAGAAACTGCTTTGTCAATAATTTTTTTTTAAATTGAGACAATAAAGCTTATTTGAAATTGAAATTGAAATTGAAATTAATCTAAGCTTAATAAAACTGGGATTCAAAAATAAACATTGATCATTCGACCTGACGTTGCATGGCACACAACTAAGCTCGGTTTGATTAAACTAGTAATTTATAGGATTTTTTACGTTTAGGTTGGCAAACATGTTGAAAATTTGTCAAATGTGAAAGCAAAAATAGAAAATATAACCTAGAAAGCGAATTATTTTTTGTAAGTTTTTCCGAATCGAAGCAGTGACTGAACCCTTTGTATTTTGTAGTTTTTTTCTGCTAATTCGCTTCATTTGAAAAAATAGATCCACTAATAGCACAAGTGAAACAGAGATGAGCCAATTTTACCAACAACGATAAAGCTCTCCTACTATACTAATTAATATTATGGCAAAATACAAGATCATTATTGAAAAAAAAAACTGATTCTCTCTATAGTTTTCTCTATTTTCGTAGCTAGCAAAGTTTCAAACATTCTACAGCTCTTGGACAAGAAGGCCCTGCACTGTTATACTTTATACTTCTGTATTATTTCCTTCCAAGTGTCTTGTTTTTCATTGCCGTATATTCTATTTTGCACAGATATTTCGATCGAGATTGATTATAGAATTTAAAAATCAAATATCTACCTACATAATAATAAATAATGAAATTCTCACAACATGAACATATGCCGTAAACAACGACAGACGGCATGTCATTTCACTTTGCGAATTTCCTTTCTACGCATTCAATTAGTAAAACTTCCCTTTAAACCATCAAACATGACCGTTTAAGTTGAACCAAGTTCAAATCAAATTAAACTTTGTTCAAGAAACGGTGCAATGGATTTCTTTGATTTAAACCAAGATTAATGTTAAACCAAGATCAGAAATTGTTGGTGCAACTACCCATAAGTGAACTATAAATGGCTTTACGGTCGGCCGTGTTTTAATATTTTACTGTTACTGCTACTGTTACTGATACTGACACTATAAATCCAGCTTTACAGCCTGTTAAAGTTGCAAAAAAGTCAATTTTCAACTGTCAATGGTTCCAAAACAGTTGAACTATTAAGGTATTAAAATTTATGGCGTTTCCGATTGGTAGATCTAGTGCGGAATTAGTGCAATTTTTTCTATTTCTGTCTTTTTCTTCTACAGGTCGATTAAAAGGATGCAAATACACTCAGTGCGCACTGAATCTACCAATCGGAAACGCCATTAGTATCCTATGGAATTAAAAACCCTCCAAAACTACAAAATGATGTATCACTTGACCCCCCTTCCCATTTAAGATTTTCTAGGGGGTGGCTCTGGGGGGTTGAAATGGTGTAGGTGAGTTTTGCATATCATTGATTTTGCATAAATAAAAACTCAACCCCCTTCAACTTATAGTTGACATGTTTCAGGGATTTTTTCGAAAATTTTTCAACTCCGGAGATAATAGGGGTGGTAAGTTTTAAATTGAACAACCTGTATGTGTGCCATCTATGCAATGACGTCTATGTTAAAAAAAAAACAACAAAAAAAACCAAAAACCGTATTTTCAACCTCTCATCATAAAATTAATTCAATTTTTGGTCTGCCCGAAAAGTTTCTTATTTCTTGGTAAAAAGCAGAAAGCAGGCATTAAAAAAGACTTCCGCAAAAAGATGAATTCTAAAGAAATTGCAATTTGGGAAACAAAGAAAAAAGTAAACAATATCAACCAATTAAGGTGCAAGTCTGGCTGGAGAGAAGAGTTTCTTAGTAGCAATTAGATAATTATTACAATCTCCTTTTCCCTGGAGGACAGATTTTTAAACTCCAAGCAAATAAACGAAAGAGCAGTTCCAAGTTTGCCCTACCCAAACAAACCCAAACAAAAATGTTACTTTTCAGCCTCAGTTCTTTCAAGTTTACAAAACCCCAATCAACTAGTAGTTTAATTAATAAATAGCGTAAATTCTTACTTGTTGTGCCACTAATTGTGGATTAATCCTCGGTTTCCTTGTGGAAGTCCCTTTTCTCACGTCACACATCAAACATTTGAACGCTTCGGCCGTGTTCCTGAACGTGCACACGCTACAATCCCAAAAATTATCCTCGACCACTTTGGGGCCGCGTTTCGCCCTTCGTATCGGACTCTTTTTATTGTCCATTTTGTACGCGAAACGCGAAAAAAAATCAAAATTTCCGAGGCGACGTACACCGACAAACAACTCGCGCCGCCATTTTTGCGTTTGTGTTCGAGTTAGTTCCTACGATGGCCGTACTTTGAAAAATCGAGGGTATAATGGCGCTAGTGTTTGCAGTCAGACTGTTTCGTTTATTTGCAGCGTTGCAAGATTGAAAGGTTTTTTTGAAATTTCATTGCATTCTCTATTTAGACATTTTTAATAATTAATACTTGTTAATACCTACAAAAATTGAAAAAATTAGCTATTTATGCAACAAGTGTGTAAAGTAAAAAAAGCTGCTCTACACACTGGAGGATTGTGATGAGAAGGGAACTTTTTTGCATTTTATTTTTAGGTAGGTACATTAATTTACCAGTTTCATAACTGATTTTCGCTTGTTTATTTCGGAATTGCGAACATCGCTTTATACATTAAATTACTGTATTAGATAATTTCATATTTTCCAAGTTTGATTGATGGAATTGATGGGTTGAAAAACTAACCTTGGGAAAACTCAAGGAAATTTTTTACGATTACCGGTAGTGATTTGGCAACCGTGTATCAGATGTTCGACGCACGACGCAGTGACGCACGACAATTTCGTGCAGCGAGCGCGAACGAATCACAGGCCAGTACGCTTTGTCGTAGAACAGCTGCGACGTTGTCGTGCGACATAACGAATCGCTCCAAACATTTCCGCGTTTTCAAACAAACCAAAAAAAATGTCATTCAAACCGAAAATTGACTCGCAACAGTTGATCGAAGAAGTGAAGAAACGTCCCTGCTTGTACGACATCAAGGGAGTTTTGCATAATCAACGTTCGCAAGGCAATCACGAATTGAAGAATGCGGCTTGGGGCGAAATCGGTGCAGCGTTGTTCCAAGAAAAATGGAAAGAATTCGGTTTGGCCGACAAGGATGCGGCAGGTAAGAATTTTTGAATTAATTATGTATAACTACGTCAAATAATAGATTCCAAAACTAGTGGAACCTGAACGTTTTATTTAAGTATGTATTTTCAAATAATGATTTTAATTTGATGATCTGTTCCGTTTAATTGTGTTTGAGCCTAAATTCCTATTCAGGATCACGTGATACGTCCGATTCAATTACATTATTGTGCTACCGCACTTATCACACTGATCTCAAACTCATCTATTCTTAATTAAACATTGCCCACAAATGACATCGGTTTACCCTCGGGTTTACCATTCTATCAACGTCAACTGTCACCCGAAGGAACGGGCGTTCATTTCCGGTGTAGGCATCTCAGAAACAAGATTCGATTATCAGCTGGTGTTATTTGCCTTTTTTAGTCGAGGTTATTGAAGAAAAATGGAAAATGACAATCAACGGTCGAATCACGAGTCGAGTTCGGCTGATCGTCAGCGTGCATAAAAATGACAGGCCCACGTGATTAGTTTTGAATCTTCAAATCGAAGATTTCATGGGATTCTACCAACAGTTTAATTTTTCAGCTCGCGGAGGATTAACCGAACTCGCCTCTGAGCTGTTTTCTCGTGTTAACTTTTTTGAAACTGGTTCAAAACCGTATATTCTCGCGATGAACCTATGACGTCACACAAGATTGCAGTGGCGGATCTATAGCACCATTCTAGGGAGGGTAGAGGTTCTCGACCAGTAACGGCTCGTGGTCTATACTTAAAGGGCAGACATTTTTTTCGGGTGCCACGCCCAAAACGCATTTTGAGCTTCCAAAAAATAATTTGTGTGTTTTTTTGATAATCGAAATTCTCTTAGGCCTCTCTCTGGGGGAGGGTAATAACCCACTTCACCCCCCAGTAAATCCGCCACTGGGAAAAGACGTAGTTTACAATAATAAAAATGCTGTACGATTACGTCATAAATACGTCAGCCATGTCGTATTTGAAATATGGTACAATTGACGTCCTCATAAATATGTCAGTTTGATCATGACATGACGTTTATGCATGTAAAGTCATAAATCACGTCATATTTTGGTAAGATGACATCGTAAACCGAAATTGACTCTAAAATGACGTTATTTGGAAAAAATTCAAGAACCTGGAATAGAAATAATCCTTGTATTTGTGCTTATCAACCAGTTTCTTCTCAATTTTCAATTCTCATAAATTTTCTCGCTCATTTATTCTTTCTTTATTTTTGTCTATTCCCTGCTTTTGAATTTCTTCAAATTTCCCTAAATAGAGGGACTTTAAGTCATACTGGAATAGAGTAAATTCATGTATTGCTGCTAATCAACCATAGTTTCTCCTCAATTTTTTCTCAATTTTCATTTCTCATTAATTTTCTCGCCTATTTAACTATTCCTTTCCAATTTTTTCTGTTCCCGGCTCTTAAATTCCTTCAAATTTTCCTAAATTAAAAGAATTCAAGAGCCTGGAATAAAGACAAGAGACAATCCTTGTAATTCTGCTCATCAACCAGTTTCTTCTCAAATTTTTCTCAATTTTCAATTCTCATAAAGTTTCTCGCTCATTTATTCTTTCTCTATTTTTGTCTATTCCCAGCTCTTGAATTTCTTAGAACTTTCCCAAATAGAGAGGGACTTTAAGTTATTCTGGAATAGAGAAAATTCTTGTATTACTGCTTATCAACCATAGTTTCTCCTTAAATTTTTTCTCAATTTTCAAATCTCATTAATTTTCTCGCGCATTTAGATATTCCTTTTCAATTTTTGTTTTTTTCGGCTCTTAAATATCTCCAAATTCCCTTAAATTGAGAGAATTCAAAAGCCTGGAATAGAAACAATCCTTGTATTTCTACTTATCAACCAGTTCTTCTCAAATTTTTCCTCAATTTTCAATTCTCATTGATTTTCTCGCTCAACTATTCCTTTTCAATTTGTGTCTGTTCCCGGCTCTTAAATTTCTTTAAATTGAAAGAATTCAAGAGCCTGAAATAGAAAAAAATCGATTTCATCTCTCTCCCTCTAATAAGGGTTCTATCTCTCTCTCACACTTGACACTCTGTAACAGGAGTTGACAGATAAACATTGAATTAAACGTTGTTTGTCAATCAATTTGTCTATGACTGAGTTGAATTCAAGAATCAGGAATAGACAAAAATCGATTCCATCTCTCTCACTCTGTATAATTTCTTTACCTAGTAATGGTTCTATCTCTCTCCCACTTGACACTAATTTCTCTGTAGAGTCGACAGATAAACATTCAACTAAACGTTGTTTGTCAATCAATTTGTTTATGACTGAGTTGAATTCAAAATTCAAGAGTCAGGAATAGACAAAAATCGATTCTATCTCTCACACTCTGTATAGTTTCTTTACCTATTGTTTGCCCAGCGGATCTGAGTCTACGGAAGGAATTCGGATGTAAATGTGCCATGTTGCCACGTTTATTTATAAAAAAGCGAAAATACTAGGGATGAAGTATAGTTAATTTGAAAATCTATTTTTTAATAACAAAATATTGATACAATAATAAAACGCTAAATACCTATTTTAACGTGGTTGTTAGATCTATCCTTATTTTAATCCTGATTTCTTCAATTTGGTCTATTGTAAAATATAAACATTTTCTAAAAATACCATCAGCTTTTGACAATTTGGCAAGCATCCGTCCTGGATGAACCTGATTGGTGGAGTTTTTGGCAGGATCGCCGTTGTCATGGGGAACCATACGGTTGTCAATGAGCTAACGTCACCTTACGTCTCGCTATTGGCCAGGGCTCACGTCATTTTATCCTCCCATCTTGGAATATCGATTTATATTGAAATATCCAGTGGCGGAGATTTGGTAATTGCTGATTTTCGTGTACGAGTTGCAATACGATAACACTTCCAAAAAGTTCCGCACGCAGCTGGGTATTTTATAAATGAAATCAGCCATTTTTTTTGACAACTGTATTCCCCTTACCGTTGCCCCGTAGACACAGATTCGCTGGGCAGACATTAGTAATGATTCTATATCTCCCACACTTGACACTAATTTCACTGTAACAGGAGTTGACAAATTAACATTGTATTGAACTTCGTTTGTCAATCAATTTGTTTATGACTGAGTTGAATTCAAGAGCCGGGAATAGACAATAATCGATTTCATCTCTCTCACTCTGTATAGTTTTTATTGCTTCTAAAGGCGGTTACACACGGACATGGATGTCTGAAAACATGTACGCACATACATGAACACGCAAACAATAACATCAATAGGCGGTTACACACGGGCGTGGATGTCTTAAAACATGTACGCACATACATGAACGAATTGAACGCGCAACCAAAAACATCAATGTGTATGCAAAATACCGTCGCGTTTTTGAATGTGGAATCGCTAGAAATTTTGTATGCACACTCGGATTACTGTAGCAAGAATGGCAAGACTGCAGTTTTGTGCTAGCGTCTGTACAAACGCGACATGCACGTTGTTGTTTGCACGTTGATGTATGCACGTATATGTATTAAGCCATCCACGCCCGTGTGTAACCGCCTCTAATGTGTATAGGAAACAGGACCCGCTCTAGCCTTTCGGCCATCCTGGGCAAAAATAACAAATGCCGCCCCAGAAATTGATTTGGAGATGAAGGGAAAGAGGATTATTCAGTGGCCGCCCGTGATTTTTATTTCAAGGGAGGCAACCTAAAAAGAAAAAATTGCGTCATAGGTAAATTTGTCGTGGGGGGAGGGGGTAAAGCCCGCCGGAGGAAGAATTTTATTTCGAGTGCCACGCCCAAAAACGTTTATTTTAAACCTTCAAAAAAACAACATCTGAAAATAAAGCTAGGAGTTTTCGCGTATTCAGTGTAACAAAAACGGCGCCATGCCGCAGACCGATCATAAAACTTTTTATAAATTCATAAAGGAGATTTTATTGTTTCCAAAGAAAGTGTTAAATGCCTACTATGTAAAAAATTATAGTACTGGTCCTAATAGCGGCGGCGGTCTTAGGTCTATTCGCACAGAAATCACTAACCAGTTAGAGTGAATTTCATTGGTTGAAACTAGTTTTCTGAATGTTTCTGATTGTTTTCAACCAATGAAATTCGCTCTAACTGGTTTGTGATTTCTTTGCAAACAGACCTTTTATTTATTTATTTACTTATTTCGTTTTATCGATATAAATGCCGCCCCAAATTTTGCCGCTCCGGGCGAATGCCCGGGTTGCCCCCCCCTAAAGCGGGCCCTGATAGGAAATACCGTCGCGTTTTTGAATGTGCAAACTGTAGAATGACGCTCAAATGGATTCTGGAATCGCTAGAAATTTTGTACGTGCGTACATCAACGTGCAAACAACAACGTGCATGTCACTTTTGTACAGACGCAGAAAACTGTCAGTCTTGCTGCTACTCTTGCTACAGTATTCTGAGTGTGCATACAAAATTTCTAGCGATTCCAGATTCCAGAATTCATTTGAGTGTCATTCTACAGTTTGCACATTCAAAAACGCGACGGTATTTTGCATACACATTGATGTTTTTGTTTGCGCGTTCATGTATGTGCGTACATGTTTTCAGACATTCACGTCCGTGTGTAACCGCCTCATGATTGGAATCTTGCTTGAAGAATATTCCTTATTTCAACAAAGTCCTGCATTTCATGGGGCTTGCTTAGCGATTGTACGTAAAGCTTGTTGGTTTCATGATCCCATTTCCGGTAGATGATGCAGTTATTACCTCCTTTACCCCCCCACCCCCGTGGATCCGCCACTGCAAGATTGGTTCAAACCATTTTCTCGCACCGAGAAGTTATGACGTCATTGTGAAAGTGTTTTAAACCAGTTTTGAAAAATGTTTCAAAACTTTGAGATGCGAGAAAACTATGGTTTCCGAAAAGGCTTTTATCTTTGGTTTTTATCTGCCATTGCCAGTAGCTTCAAAACTGTCAATTTATTTGTGAAAGTTTTGGCTGGCTTGCACCAATGATTATGAATAGACTCAAATAGACGTTGAACGAAAAACATTATATC